TAGACGTTGCTTCGAAGTTAGAAAAGGCTTTTGTAGTGATTTTTTATTGGTAAATTGTTACGTTCTCAAAAAGTACTTTAAAGTGTATAAATAAGTTACCCGGGTAATTGATTTACATCAGCCAATCAGACGAAAGTCCTCCTATGAATTAGCACTGGTATACGGTCCAACACGAGCCAAAAATCCGTGACACTTCGAGCCTCTTACGCACAAAATCCGGATTTGATCCGTGCCACCGAAACCCGTGCCATTCTGAGCCAACCCATACAACTACAGTACATTTTTCTTATAGGGATAATCAAAACTATATATATCTTAAAAAGAATAATAGTAGCGTTCCCTAATTATTCAAGGGTACACTTCTTTTAAACCTAAATTTACAAGCTTTATTGACCATACATTCGAAATTACAATAATAATATTGGTCTATATTCTATTTACGTGCAGAATACATTCAACTCTCTTTATAATGAACCTTTTTATAACGAACTCCGAATACAAAGAACTAAAAATTTTAAATTATATTAGTTCAGCATAGAGAGAGTTGACTATTACGTATTTCCATTATCTTCAATTCACAAAGAAAATAGAACAGAAATATATGGTGAAAAGTATCATTCAAAAAGAAATTTTTACAAACATACTGAATGAAAGAAATGCTGCGGCTGACCAACACGGCACACATTCAAGAATTGCAAAGAAAATCTAACAATTAGAGTTCATGATCCTGTAACACGTGACCCAAAATTAGAACCCGATAAAAAATTACAATTCTGCCGTATTGAAAAGAGAGAATGTAGCATTATTAGTAAATATAGAGAAAGAGGATAATATGAATAAAAAATAGAGGTACAATAAGAAAAAAATACTTAGTTCCGGACCAATTTCGAATCTCATGACCGCCACAGCATCAATAATCTGCCAAATCACCTCACGTCTCGATCGAAGCCCACTAATTTGGAGGTTAAGATCCATTATAAATAGTCTTAGTGTTACTAAACCAATCCTGGCATTTACACCGTACAGCCTGTGTACCATCCGCCTAAATAGTCCGAATGTCATTCATTTAACAAGAATCAACCCGATGTCCTCAATAAATTCTCATATCAATATAAAGATTAGAGTCGGTTTAATTAGCTACTATGTTTGGTGTTTACGATCATTCATGCCAATAACAGTAAAGTCAAGACCCTATGAAAAGCCCGATAAATGGACCGTATTTTGAAATTGGTCTTGACCTATTTCATACATTATGTTAGCCAACTAAAAGCAATCGTAATTATAAAATTCAACCTATAGTATAAATAATTTAAATCAGTTAAAATCTTTTTTTTAATTGCGTTAAAGTAACAATGCTCTATTTTTTTTTTTTTTTTTTGTAAACATAAACATTGATTTAAAAAAAAAAAAAAACAAATTTCTAAAAACTTACATTAAAGAATTTATTAAGAATTTTGGAATTTACTGTTTCAAAAGATATTGTGTTTTTACTTACAATCGCTATTAATAAAAATTTTGTTGATAAGCCTTATCGTTCTTTTCAAATTAGTGCGAAGATATCTCGACAACCACTAGGCAAAATTTAACAATTTTATTTTTTATTTGAATTCTACTTATTCGTTGAGTTCAAATAAAAAAAAGTTCATTAAATTTGACCTGGTGGTTGTCAAGAAACCTTCGCTAAAGGTTAAAAAAATTTAATGGGATTTTTTCTTGAACTTTGTGCGAATATATCTTGACAACCATCAACTCAATTTTGATAAACTTTTCTTTTTTATTTAAATTCTATATTGGTAGAATACAAATAAAAAAAAAATTAATCAAAATTTGATTGATAATTGTCGAGATATATTCGTTCAAAGTTTGAAAAAAATTTCTATTTGAGAGACTTGTGTTTTTAAAACTGAGTCAAATTTGACGAATTTTATTTTTATTTGAATTTTATGGAGATATAGAATTAATATAAAAAATTATTAAAATTGATTTAGTATTTTATGAAATAACTTCACTCAAATTACGAGAAATTATGGCACAGCTTCTGTTTTAATGGACGGTTTAAGTTTTGAAGCGAAGATTTTTTTACAAATACCAAGCCAAATTCAGTCACTTTTTTTTATTTGAATTCTACAGATCTGTAAAATTCAAATAAAAAAATTCATCGAATCTGACTTAGTCGTTGTCAAGATATCTTCGCTCTAAGTTTGAGAAAATTTTATTTGATAGATGTTGAATTTTTAAAACCTTTGAACGAAGGTATCTTGACAACCACCAAGCCAAATTAGTTGTTTTTTTTTTTTTTTTTTTGAATTCTACATGTTTGTAGAATACAAATAAAAAAAATGGTTATTGAATTTAGTTTAATATTTGATAAGGTATCTTTATTCAAAATTGAGAAAATTTATCACTTTTGATAGACGTTGAATTTTTTAAAATTTGAATGAAGATATTTTACAACTATCAAGCCAAATTTGATAACTGTATTTTTATTTGAATCCTACAGATTCATTGAGTTCAAAAAAAAAAAAACTTCATTGAATTTGACTTGGTGGCTGTCAAGATATCTTCAGTTAAAGTTTGAGAAAATTTTGATGCAACTTTTATTTGAGAATTTTGTAAAACTGAAATATCTCAACAACTTCCAAGCCAAATTTAATAAATTTTTCTTTACTTAAATTCTACAGGTTTTATAGAATTTAAATAAGAAAAGTTCATCAAATTTGATTTGGTGGTTGTCAAGATATCTTCGTTCAAAGTTTAAAAAAATTTAAGAAATATGATACAAGAAAAGGCTTGAAATTTTCCATATAATTTAGCTGCACAAACAACCAGCTCTTGTATATTACTTGATAATGCATTGAAAAAACGAGAATTGAAGAGGAATCTTGGGAATTTTTAATTGTAACAAGAAATTTAGATTTTCAGAGAGATGATCGGCAGGGGTCACAATAATTTGAAAAGAGCGATAATGCTGAAGCGAATCATTCTCCCGAGTGTTTAGAGTTATATTTTCGAGAATTTACTCCATTTTATTTTTTTTTATCATTATGAAACTTTCAGAGCTTATTCACTTTTTTAAATTCCGAAATAAGCACGTGCCAAAAATCTAAAAATCATAAAAGATGCTTTTGTAACAAAATGATACGCTGATTGATACTGTATAATGATATCAGCCTTTTACTACGTAACTATATAAAGAATTTTCGTTTAGCTAATTTTAAATTTTATCCACAAAGTCACATATTCCCTTTGACATAATAATCAAAAAATATGGAACAAAATGACGACGATTCATCTATTACTGAAGTTTCGAGCTGTGATACTTGGGAACTTATTTCTTCTCCTTATACACTCAGACAAATTAGGCAAGAAATAAAAGGTGAACTTGTTCAGACTATTAACGATGATATTCTTCCTCAACTTTTACAAAAATATGTAAAAGATTTGAACTTTTCCGATAACGACATTAAAACAAGTATAATAATCGAAAAAGCTTTTGATAAAAAAGTAACAAATCGAATTCATTCATTGAAAAATGAAATAATAAGAGATGTTTTGGAAATTGTTAAACATGAAATCGTGCCAGAGATTTTGGAAAAGGTCAATCGAGACATTGTAACATTCGTGACAAAAAAATTAGCAGCTAGCTTCAAGCCTACTGAAAGGTAAACATATAAGAATTTTAATTATCTGCAGTATTATCTAATAGGTTTTATACAGTATTTAAGTACGTTGAAATTTTGCTTTTGCGTATATGTAATATAGTCCAGAGTCGACTCAGTCATCCATAAATCATCTCTCAGAATATAAATCCGCATGCAATCAAATAATGAAAGATATTAAACCTCACATTAATCACCTTACAATTTTATTTTGCTTCCATGAAAAACTCATTACCAACTTTGACTTGACTTCACAATCAATTCCAATAGTCTTGAAATCTTTTCACCCATTTTGCGGCAAATTTTCTCCAATTGTTAATTTAATCCGAAATGTTTTAATTAACTGCTGGTCAAATAATTGGACTGGAAGTCTTGTAATTACTAGTGACTCGAAGAATTCTTCTGAAATTATTTGTAAATTTCTGAAACGTATTAGAGGATTATTTGATAATTATACTTTAGGGATTACAATTGTTGAGATTAAAGGATGCGAGTTTAAAGATCAAAAAACCTGCAAAAAGTATACAGATGATTATGATTATTCAGTTTATAATGACTTGAGAATTAATGAAAGGATTTCTTTGGACGTGCATACATTTGAGAACGATTTGAAAAAAGTTCTGATAAATGTAAGAAATTAATTTTTATGATAAATGAAATTATAATTAATAATTAATAGTTTCATTCATTTTTTTTTTTCCCTTCTAGCACTCTAAAATCACTTGCACGTCTAAAAGTCAAGATGCTACTATAACGTTTCAAGACGGCGATTTGTTTGGAAAATATGCAGAATTTAGCAATCATCATATTACTGCTATAAAAATAAAGGACGAAATTTGGCCTACACCAGTACATTACAGTAAGTGCGTTTATTAAATTTGCGAACTTAATTTTTTTTTTTTTTCTGCATTTTAAGCCTTTATCATACATATAGTTGAAGCTCAAAAATACACTTCACATAGCATCCAAAAGCAAATTCGTATGACATCGAATATCAAAAAAGCATTAGCATTTTCACAAAATTATAGTTCTCAACAACGTAAAGATTGGGATTCTTTTATTCTTCCATCTGGACATAATTTCGTTACAGCTAACGAAACACCAAAGCTTGAGGCTTTTCGTATTGCAATAACCAATAAGTTTGAGCAGCACCCGCATCTAAAATATAAGTTGTTATCTACTGGGTCTCTTTCGATTAAGCATCAAGCAAAGGATGCTGATGGTAATATTTTAGATTTAGTGGACAAAAATTTGTTGGGAAAGGTTTTAGAAGATGTTCGAAACTTGTTTATGGAAATTGAATGCAAAAAGGCAGCGAATGAATTTGTTGATGGTGATGAAAAATTATTTTTGGAAGAAGTGAGAGGGAAAATTTGGGAATTTAAAAATATTTGACAAAATTTTATTCTGTTTCTTTTTCTCGGTTTGTCGCAAACAGGTTGAGAATTTGAAGGATGATGATATATCGATAAAGTTATGTTCCAAATATTAAGACTTTTTGTAAATATAAATAAAACGGTTATGGCAGCTGATGCAGAATTTGAGTCTGTTTTATCGTGCTTTTCATATTTTCGCGATCCTCATATAGAAATCTTCAAATTCATTTAAATAAATAAATAAAATAAAAATAAAATAAATAAATAACGATTTCAATGATTCTGGTTACGTTTCAATTTTCTACTATAAGTTCCATTTATGTGCTATATCATCAAACAACAGTAAATTTTAACCTAAATATTCTTAAACTCCAAATGAATTATTTTACAATATTTGAACTAGCCAGTAATTTCTGTTTTAATTTACTCCCGGATTTATAGTAACTATAAGTGACAAAATTAATATTGTTTAAAATGGTTTATTAGTTAGTAATTGTGATAAATATTCATAATGAGATAAAAAACAATTCTTAATTTTGTCAATAAGTTAAAACTACTGGTAACTCTTTTTATGGCATAAATTAGTAATAATAATATCCTGATCCATTGGGAATTGGCGTTTCCATACGGATCAGGGTACTACGATTCATCTGTGATCTTGATATAGTGATCAGGATTATTTTTATAAATATTGGTAAGTACGAGTGTCGATTTAAAGATTCATTAAGATATATAAGTTTTATAAGGTTTATTGGTGTTATAGGTAAAAATAGGTTCTAAATTGATTTGGGATTGTTAAGTCAGGGATGAGAAACTGGTTTTTTTAAGTGGCTATTACGTACAATCCAGCTATTATAACATAATGTTGGCTTTTCTTATAGCATTAAGCGAAAATGAGGTTCATCGGTATCCTGTTATACTACCAGTGTCAATTCTTGTTTTTTTTTAAAAAAAATAGTATATTAAATGGTATCCATTAGATCATATTATTAAGATGAATGTAATTATCAATCTCTATTTTTGTTTATATCCATTCGAATTGCTATATCTGGATGCCTGATACCAATATTCATGTTATTTTCATTGCAATGCGTACATTTTTTGTAATTAGAATTCTTTATTAGTAAATTAGAATTTCATTAGTCATTTTCACTTTATTTATGATTACAGTAAATATATATGTATTTTTTTTTGCTCACTGATTAATTAATGAAAATAAATAACAAAGATTCATACAGCAAAATTGAACAGCCTAATTGAATATTTAGGCTATCTTTATATTTGTAGGCTACACTATCGAGAATAGATAAATCAAATAATAAATTGAATAACCTATTTTAAATACTTAAAAGTTATTCTTTATACTGTACTTACAATCTAAAATAAAATTATGAATAGTAAATATTCATGAAGTTGATTAACTTATTTTTAAATAGTTAATATTCATAAAGGCGAATAGTTTACTTTAAATGTTTAGTTTAATAAAAACTCTTTATTCACATATGACAAATTAATGCAAATACAATAAAATTAATCGTAAATTTTTACTACTAAATTAATAAATGTTCATACTCAAATGTTAAATCAAATTACTGTAACCTCCACGAAGAAATCCGAAACTTTTGACGCTTTTTTATGAATAAATCTAATTTACGTGTTTAAAAAATAAAATTTCTCAAGATTCCCTATAATTTAGTAGTACATTAGAACTTCAAAATTTCCGCTAACGAAGAAAAAAAAACCCCCCTAGAAATTTTAATATTATTTTTATCAAACTAATTATCCCTTTTGACATCAATTTCGTACAAAAGGACATTCAATTTCATATAAAGTGACATTTTAATTTTGCACAAAATGGCTTTTAAATTCGTACAAAGCAACATTCAAATTTGTACAAAATAACAATTAAAATAAGTTTGATTAAATCGTGTTATCTCATGATGTAGTAATCCAGTATGGGTGATTTTGGTACCATTCGAATCTATTAATCGAGAGGATTCGAATGGTACCAAAATCACCTATATTGGATCACTACATCACGAGATATCGCTATTTAATCAAACTTATTTTAATTGTCATTTTGTACAAATTTGAATGTTGCTTTGTATGAATTTAAAAGTCACTTTGTCAAAACTGAATGTCACTTTGTATAAAATAGAATGTCATTTTGTACGAAATCTAATGTCCTTTTGTACGAAATTGATGTCAAAAGGGATACCATATCTGTGTACTACTAGAGATGATACTGGGGAATCGAAATATAATGGGAAATCTTGAAGATATTTACTTCTATACACGTTAATTAGATTTATTCATGAAAAGGTGCTAAAAGCACTCTAAAATAAAACATCCATGAACCTGAATTTAGATTATAAAATGTGATTAAGCGATAAATATTCATAGTTTTGCTAATTTATACAATAATGTTATATGCTAAAATCAATACGAATAAAATAACTAATTGTATAAAAAAAAAAAAAGCCTGTAATATCAAAAAAAAAGTGTTAATAAAATGTAGATTCGAAAGGTGGGACCCTAAAAGCGGAAGGTACCGAATTCGATTTAAAAACATGACTTTTCAGCTTAATTTGGTATGATCTGATTCCCGAAAAAGGAATATATTAACCAAATTCAGCAGATCGGTCCGAAGTTGGGTCGGAAAAGGCCGGAGCTTGACCGGCATTAAACAATAATACTGCCTAACCATACTATACTATTATACTATAGTAAGCTAGGCAATTTTACTTAATATATAGGCTGTCGGTTTAGTAAAAATTTAGAAAAAATTTTTCAATTCCGGCCTATTCCGACCTTAAATTCGCGCCAAGAATTTGGTTGTGCTACTAATCTATTCCAAAAAAGTGATGTAATTAATATCGTATTTTTACGGGTAACAAAGAAAAAACTATAAATATGAAAAAACATAGTACAAGAATAGTACAAAAATACCAAATTCGGTATTCTACGTGCGTACGTATGTACGAAGTGTTGGTTGGGATCAGTGTTCGAAATTCCAGATCTAAATATTGTTCTCGATAACAGTGCAATATGTTCACAAAAAAAAAAAAAAAAAAAAACAAAGAAAAAAACAAACAATATTTACAGGAGTTTACTAATTTCCCACCATTTCTGATTGGTTCTACTAATGATTAACATATCGAGTATCTGTGCTATTAATCAATTTATAGTGCTCCGATAGTAAAGTGGGAGGAAAATTAGTAAATCAATATATACAGGCGATATATTTGAAAATAGAAAATATATACTATAATTGTACTTAGTATTAAAAAAATAATCCAAATTACTTAATATAATAGATAAATATTTATTAACTTATTAGATTAATAAAAGTATATTTATCGGTTTGTGGTTTGGTAGACAACGTTATGCAGCTGTTTATTATACTTATGAAAACACATTATTTTACCGTTCTCAAAAAATTTTTAATAGTAAACAGTAAAAAATTTATACTGTGTGCACAAATTTATAATTGTGTTATGATGAGAACTGAGAACACTAATTTCGAACACTGGTTTGATATATAGATTTCCCGATATAGATATCGATATATGTATTAATTTCTTGAATTGGTAGCGCATGTATATAAATGCTAATCCGCTGTCCCGATGTATAGAGTAAGAAGTATATTCTCTTCGCACTCTTCTCCTAACAAAGAGAACCTTTTCATAACTCTGCGTGCACATTTATCATGAATGTCCAATTATCATAAAATCTCGTTTCATCCCGATCCCAGTAATACCCATAATAGTGTGACCATGTTCCAAAACCTAACATATCCCTCGATCACATTGGAGCTTACACACATTGCACTTCCAAAACCAATGAAGACACCGGAACATTATTAAGAAATCTTCAAAGTTTAAAATTATTTAGAGCTTTATACATTTTATACACAAAACAATTGGCTAATATAATTTTTATCCAATCACGGGTTCTCAAATTTATCGTTGTCACATTTTTGATCAAAATGTTAAAGCACACAAAAATCTAGATTTAAAATTATAATGATTAAGAATTTTCATTAATTCGCGTAAAGCACAGCAACCTCTATACCATGTAAAATTTGAAGATCATATTAAATACTATAAATAATACTAGAGATATAGAACTTTTTTTAATACTGTAATGTAATTTAAATATGTATTACTGATATATTAAGCTTTTGGTGATTTTTGAGCCATTACACACATTTAGTGTAGATTAACATTTTGGAAAAAGAGTTTTAATTAATTTATTCCCTTACAGACTAAGAATAAATTTAAAAGAAATCGAATGTTTAAGCCATAAAACTTTTTTTATCAAACAAGTCCCAGTGTAATATCATGAAATTTTTTAATAAATATATCAGATTAGATCAAATGTAATATCAAATATGTTTCACGATGCGACAATAATCGGAATTATGATTGCGATTAAGCCTTATCAATGTACTGTACAATATTTATATTTGTAACCATGTTTTTTTGTATAATTATACAAAGAGAATTCTAAATGTTTGTAAGCATGTTTTTTTGCATAATTATACGTACAAAGGGAATGAAAATCTCAGAATGCTGCAACATATCCATAATTGGCAATAATACGTATAGATACGTATATGTATGCGTACTTAAAATTTTACGAATTACTGCGATGCCAGTTAATCACATGGATCACAAGAAATTTTGTATATAAGATGAACTTTACAGACCTGCTATGGAACTAAAAATTTTCTGACCTCCTTCGTCTACAGCCTACAGCGTCAATTCTTTCTTTTAAAATTACTGCCTATTTCTTTTTTCTTTCCTTTTTTTTGTAATTTGATATTACAAAATAAAGCAGGTACTAAGTAGAAAAAATAATACACGTAGTAAAAAGATTAATAATGGATGTAGATGAACGGATGTCAAGTCATGTCTCATCACATGAATCATATCAAAGCTCATTAAGTCGTCGAGTTGCCATAAGCCCTGATGGTCTAGAAATTGCCACTTTTGATCCTAATACTTCACAAATACTTATTTATGATATTAAAGATTTGAAAAATCACAAGACTTCTTTTAATTTCGGAGAAGTTAATAATAAGCATAAGATGAATTTGTCACTTGCTATTTCAGATCCTATTGATAACGGCACTAGCAGTGATAGATTAATTGCGCTATCAAAATTTTATTCTGATGAAGGCATGAATAAAAACAAGAATGATAAGTCAGAAAACTGGAATGATATTGAAAAGGGTGAGAAAAGTGATTTTAAAGGCAAAACCTGGATTATTTCGCTTAGATCCCAGGCAGAAAATAAGCATTACATTTCCATTGAAATTGGTGGAGTTGTTAGATTTCTTGATAACGAAAGTTACACTCTTTATGAAAATAGTTCAGCAAATTTCAATAACGCAACAATTGTGATAACAAATGCATCAGGTATATTTAAAAGAACATTAGGTCATTCAGACATAGAAAAAGATCAAAAAGACTCGTGTTGGTGTAGTTTAACTCATAGTTGTGCTTCCATAGAAGGATTCAACTTTCCCGAACATTTTTCAAGTCATTTGAATAAGGTTGATTTGCTACACACTAGCATAGTCAAAAATCATTTCTTTGTTCACTCCTACAAAAATAAACACCGAATAGTTGAAATGTATTCTCTCAGAACAGGCAATATGGAAATGATATTCAAAAAACGTGAACCATCATATTCTCAAATCACAAAAGGTCGAATTATTTATGAGATTTCACAAAATGAAGCATTATTTGCTTTTTGTCATGGCACAAATGCAATTACAATTTATTTGATGGAAAACGGGTTAGAAATTATCACAAAGAAGTTACGTGTACTAGATAATTCTATTTGGCAAAAAATTTTATCAATTCATTTCATCGATAATGACAGTAAGCTATTCATCATCTATGAAGAAGAATTATATGATTGTGATAATAATGAAACAAAAATGGTCAAATCATTTATCATTTGGGATTTGTTCTCTACTTCAGACGATGCTATTAAAAGAGTCAAATTTACCAATGATCTAAAAGTACAATTAGATATCAATCCAATTTACCGTTTGTTGAACTCTAATGGTAAAATCTTGGGGATCAAAAATGATAAAGATTTCTTTTGGGTATTACAACATCCTGAGATTAGAAATAATTTATATCCGACTTCTAATGATCTAAAAACAGTTAACCTCACAAAACGTGGTGAAGGTCATATTGTATACGATGTAAATGGTAAAATGATTACTGATAGCCACAAGATCATATCGATAATAGAAAATACCGAACCATGGAATCCTCGAACGCCACAAGAATCAATATATCTAGATAAAACAGGAAATTTACAGCTTATAATCGGTAGTAATACTCTCCAAGTATGGCGTCTTAAACATACTTCAACAAATAAGCGGCATTCTTTCCTCGAGTACGCTTTGGTAGATGAAAAAATTGGCTTACTAAATAAAAAATTAAAAGTTAAGCCCGTGAATTTTTATTGGATTTTTCGGAACCTTCGGAACACAGGATTCATTGGCCAAATAATGTGAACGTATTGGAAAGTGCTTGTAGATTTCTAAACTTTGTAACCAGTAAAAAACATGAGGCCAATGATAACGATAACTTAAATAGATTAATCGAATCAACTCAAAGACTAATCTACAAATTCATAAAGCAGCATGGAACATGGAGACTTACCGATATTCGTTATAACATAATGGAGAATCTTATAAAAGCTGAACAATACACATTGATTAAATTAGTTCTAAACGAAAGTATTAACGGAAAGAATTGTAAATTACACTTGCCAAGACGATACAAATGGAATAAGAAAAAGACGACAGATTTGGAGTCTCTCATGCCTAGGAACAAAAGTTGTGAAAATGAGACTTTTGAGACAAAGACGACGGATTTAGAGTCTCTCATGACTATGAACAAAAGTTGTGCAATTGCGACTATTGATCATTTATTAGAGTATTATTTGGATAACGCCTATTATGATATGAATTCTGGATGGTTATTTACTGTTACCGACGCTATTCATTTATTGTATGACAATAAAATAAGTACGTATAGCGACAGTACATTTCGCAAGAGTAATTGCTATAATATTAATGTTAATTTTATTATTATTATTATTATTATTATTTGTATAGATGTTCAAAAACTATTCAAGAAACCATGTTTTGGTGCACTAGAAGCTGACACAAGCCCATTAAACTTGAGTCGTTGTCAACGAAAAACAGTAAATGAAGTCCATATATTAGAGGTTAAACCACAGCTCGCTCGAAAACCAAAAAATTCTCTTTGGACTTGTTTTAAAGAAAAAGCCTTTCTGTACGTAAAATTTTTAATAGGCTCTTTTTAAAATAAATAATCAATCTAATAATAACACATTATTCTAAATTATTTAGAAAATGGGATACTATAGTAAAGAAAAATTCTATTGTTGCTAAAATATTTTCGAATTCTAAGACACCTAACAACTCCACAAAACAATATATTAATGATGAAAAAGTGTATATGGTTCCTCTACCAAACTTTACAATCTATTCGCAAAGTGATAGTTCACAAGGATTTATCGCAACCTTACGGAAATTTATAAAGATCATGATTTATCCAAGAAGCCGTGTAATCTCTAAGAAAAACTATTCTCCTTTCTTACATGTAATTGATAATGAAAATGACACAAAGATGTATAATTGTCCGTCAATAATCGCGGCAACTGAGTTCAAATGAGCATCTGCAAGAAAACACTTTCTTAGAAATTTTATGATATATCTTATCTTTGTAATCTCATTCGCAATTGGTGCTGGCGACTTTACCAGCCAAAAATTAGCGAGGAGCAAAACATTTGAATCACATAAAAGCGTAACTTTATGGGCTAACGCTATTTCTCTTTACATTGGATATCACTTATTGGTATCAGAATTAATACAATTCAAAAGAGAACTTAGTAGATATGCAAATATATTTAATTTTTTTGATTTGATCTCGGTCATACTGCCAATTAGTATTATTATTATTTCAAGATTTTCGAAATACAGTAACGAAGCAATGACTCAGAGTTATAACTTTCAGGTTGCCACAGCCTTTACTATGTTAATAATGTACTTTCAATTGGTAATTCTCTATCATTAATTATAAATATTGTATTTTTTTAATATTATACGTACTTATGTGGAATGATAATTAAAAATGGTCTATTTATCACTTTCTTTAATAGTTGTCGTTATTAAGATACTTTAGAGCTCCAGGACATTACGTTTATATCATCACTAACATTTTGAATAGAATCTGGCCATTCTTTGCATTTATGTTAATCGTAGTCTTTGGATTCGGTCATGCTATGTAAGTTACAATGAAAAAAAATATACCAATTATATAATTATTTATTTAATTATTTATATATATACTTATTTATTATAATTTACATTATCATTATTTTTAGGTACATTTTATTAAGTGATCCAACAGAGGATCCTGTACAATCTCAATTTTCAGTTGATTCATACCTAATTAAAAATGCCTCAAATCTTACACAAAATCTTTTTCCTAATTTTGTAATTCAACATGATGTAGATCCAACAAGTCGTTCTTCAAATTATTTTTCAACCTTTGCTTCATCAGTTGAAGCAGTATTCTTTTGGACTAATGGAAGATGGGATCAACTTAGTAATTGGGATAGTACTGCAATAGATATTATGAGCATTTTAGGAAGTTTAATTTTAGTTTTGATTTTTCAAAACTTACTAATTTCATTTATGAAGTATGTAATAACAAATTTATATAATCATTTGTTTGAATTTAAATGCATTTATTAAATGTATTAATTAAATATATTAATTAAATGCATTTATAAACGTGTTAAATTCATTTATTAAATTACTAAAATACTTACATAAATTTATATAATTCATCTAGTGGCGCATTCACAGAAGCTGATATGACAGGCAAAAACGCTGCTCGAAAATATAGGGCTGAAATGATTTGTGATTATGAAACTTTAGAAAAACCATTGGACAGCAAAAGAGGAAATCCTCGGTACATTTATTACATTGCTAATAGTGATTTTATTGATAAATGGTTAAACGAAAACAAGGCTTATCAACAAAAAAGTTGGTCAGCCCATACCGAAAGTTATGATGATATATTCGGTGATGATAGTGATAGTACTAGTGATGATGATGATGATGATGACAATGACGGTACCATAAATGCTGATATTAAAAAAAGGGACATTTCAGATGGTTCGAGCGATTTATTGCTTGATGAAGAAAATTATAAATCAATATCTACAGCAGCTTTGAAGGACTCATTATCAATTTTGGAAGACGAAACGGGTAATAAAGGCAAAAATAAGAATGGGGAGTTTGAGAACCGATTTAAGGCGTTGGAACGAAATATTAACACCATTTTACTTAAACTTAACAAGTTATCCAATTGAAAATGTCATTATCCATTTTACTATTAGTATTGCATTAAATTTGTCTTCACAGTTTGTGTTATAAAATAAAAAACATTTTTTTTATGTGTGGCATAGCTGTGCTAAAACAAGAAATGAATGTACATAATTAACCTCAAAGCAGTGTTAAAATCGATTTTTAATCGAAATCGAAAGTAAAATCCTGGATTAAAAATCATTTTGAAATTTGAAATATGAAAATTGACTAGTTGTTTCCGATCAAGGAGATTAAAAAGTGATTTTGGGTATAATTGATAGAGAGCTTCCAGATATTAGGTAGATATAGTCCCCCAGAGTCAGTCGTTTGACACAATAGTTTGACAATTACAAATTCGATTACTTTAGAACTTGTAATTGTCAAACGATTGATTATTTTAGAACTTGTAATTGTCAAATGATTGTGTCAAACGACTGACACTAGGGGCTATATTTACATAATAAGTGGAAGTTCCCTTAAATGAAACCTTTTTGGTGTGGTGACAAAGACGAATTCTGAGCTGGTTGGTTTTTTTTTAAGTAAAAAAATTGCTGTAAAATTAAAGTTAATAAATCGTGTCTAGAGATTGCACCCGTCAAGAAAATCTCTACCGGGCAATTTATTATAGTTATATGATAAAAATGTTACCCGGGTACAATCTCTAATCGCGTCATTGTTAGAATTAGAACCAAAACTTAGCGTCTATTAGTAAAATTTAGCGAGGACGAGTTTATTCTTTACGTTACATCTGATATTGACAAAATTACAGGGATGAAGTCCTTACAAGTTTGCATTTAGGAAAGTTTGACTGTAATAGATACTGTTGATAAATGGAATATTAAAAAAATTAACGAAATCACAGTACCGTAATTTAAAAAGAATAAAATATATTTATAAATAAAGTTCTTTATTTCTTATCATTGTATTTATAGACGCAGAAATACAATCCTTCACTCTCCACAACTTAACTGCGTCTTTTATCACAATCTAATTTTAATTTTATATACATGTTGTGCCTCAGATCGATTCTTGCGTCGGATCTAATCTGAGATGCCGATTTCCAGGTGACGCACGTCACCTGCCAATTGGTCATCTGACGTGCGTGAGTTGTAATCTGACGCAAGATCATCAAAATCAAAAAAAAAAGTTTCTTTCAACGAAAATGTAATAACGTAATTATGTAATAACGTCATTATGTAATAACGTAATTATGAGCAAGGGTATAAAAAAAACCCTTTGCTACTTCTGTCTTCTCTTTCTTGGCGTTTGGTTTGAATATTCTTTATGAACGTTGGCTTTATATCTTCCGTTGGCTTTTGCATTCGACGTTGCTTCGTTGGCTTTCGCATTCGACATTGGTGGTGCCCATAATTTCTCCACATTCAGCGTTGACTAAATATTTGGTGTCACTTGTTCTTGAATATAAACGTGTCTTCATTTTGCAGCACTTTGCCACGACATAATTTTTCCTCAAAATAACTGATCTTGTTCTTACCTCCATTAAGCACTGGCATTATTTCTTTGGCGCTGCTTTATAACTGGTTTTGTTCTTGTCTCTTTTTAAGCGGTTGCGTTTTTTTTTTTTGGCACGCCTAATTACTCTGTTCTTGTTCTTACCTCCCTTAGCATTGGCTTTATTCTTTGGCGCTGCTTTATAATTGGTTTTGTTCTTGTCTCTTAAGCATTTGCTTTTTTCTTTGGCGTACCTAATCTTGTTCTTACTTCCCTTAGCATTGGCTTATTTTTAGCGCAGTTTTATAATTTGGTTTGTTCTTGCCTCTT